TAATTTAAAGCCATTCCCATCACCATCTGCACGTGTAAAAAGTCGTTCTCCGTCTTTTAAGAGCTTCCTTGAAGTACTAAAAGGCCACAACGAGGTCACCTGGCTGTCCAGCCTCAGCCCTACTTATGCTTTTAGATATTGGAAAGAAGACAAACAAATCTGCCAGGTGGTCCATGGGAGGTCCCTGCAGGAGCCACTCATGGGTTCATGACCAGGCCGTGGAGCTGGGCCAGGAGGGGTCACAGCACTGAGGGGACAAGGGAAGGGCTGCAGGGAAGGTTGTGCACTGGCAGCCATGAGAGAATCAGCCCCCACATACCACACACGGCATTTTGGAATTAATAGAAATGCTTTAGTTTTTTCCTTTGCCTCCTAAACCAGCGTCCAGCTGCCTCATAAGAGTACGAATGCCATTTTTGGCAGGCCAGGTAGGTCTATTTTGTGGTTCTCTCTTTAAAAAGTTTTTAGTTTTTATAGCATTTTAGTCTTCCTCTGCAAGTATCTCAGCCTGCTTTATTCCCATCCACACTGCCTTCCTCTAGGACGTTGCTATCTCTGAACTTCAGCTACCAGGGAGCCACTGAGCACTGTCACCCCAGGGCTGTAATTCATGCTGACTCACGCTTGCTGGCCCAGAGGCTTTTTCTCCTCACACACCACTCTCCTGAGGTTTATTTTCATTCCTCAGATATCCTGGTTTGAGGGCTCATAGGTGATTTCTACCTGTTACAGAGAGAACTGGGATAAAGGAGAGAACACAGGATTAAGCCTGAGGTAATTCAGGTGAACCTGAGAGAACACTTCACCTGAGAGCAAAAAATACAAAGTAATTGCAAATAAGAGTTTGTTTCCAAAGGACCATCCATGGCATTCTCCCACCTCCAGTGCTTTTTATGGTGGCAATCAGAGAGAGAAAGGGTGGGTGGGCTCAGAGAATGCTTCAGAAACCCTCCCTGCAGGTCTGCTTTCACAGAACCATAAAATATCCTGAGTTGGAAGGAACCCACAAGGATCATGAGCCCAACTACTGGCCCTGCACATGGATCTCCTTTCCTGTTTGTCCTCAGTTAGGGAATTCAAGGTCATCTTCCCTCATGAGCTTCAATACCAGCAAACAGGCAGCAGATGGGTTGGTTGACATCTTAGCTACACCCTCAGAGGTTACACAAGAGCCTCCCAGGAGCTGCTGCCTGATCAGGATTCACCTGCAATAAGCGCCACTCTCACATCCACTGATCTCAGCTCACAAATTGGTGCAATTCACTTCAGCTGGAGAACAATTATCCTTATCTCTAAACATGACCACGATAAAAAGTCACTAGGCGTGGAGGAGTTTAAGTGGAAAAGTACCTCCATTCTGGAACCCAAACTGCTGTTCAGCCTGCCAAAAACCAGAATGCAAATCATAAAACATTCACTACAAAGCTGCTCGCTACCTGAGTTAACATTTATCCAAGGAACAGCATTCTACTGCCAGAGCACGGGGAAATGGAAAACAGGGGGAAGAATCATAACAGAACGTGACAGTAACTTCTTGAAAGATGTTTTAGTCAGCCCTCCTCTGTTCAGAGCACTTTTAGGATGAGGAAGTAGGAAATAAATAGGAAATTAAAACTCCCTCTGCTGCTCTTGCAGTAAGTGATAGAGCAAGATCAATCTTTGGAGAGAGTGTGTATAAAGAGAACAGTCTTCATTAATCTCATCCTTTCCCATGGTGAGAGTTCTTAATTTACACTTTCTAGGCTGAGTAATTACCTCTACTTTACACTTCTAGTTCCTTTAGGAATGGAGTGACTAACATTTGCACAGAAACCCCAGAGGGGCTGTGTGCTGCTGAAGGAAGTTGCTCTTCAGTCTGTGTTCAAGACCTATGACAAGTGCCCTCACGCGTGGGGTAGAACACAAGTATTTCACCCTCAGGCAGTGTTGTGGGCTGGTAGGGTGGCAGAAACCCCTGTGGAACAGCCACTGGATCTGTCAGAGGCAGGAAAATATCCCCTGGGCTCACACAGCCCTACAGAGCTGGTGCTGGACTTCCCACCTTGCAACCAGAGAAACCAGCTCCCAAAAGAGCCCATTTCTGTGACATCCCCCCTGGGGACCACGAGTGGTGCTGCTGCTGCCCCAGGGAGCCACCAGCGAGGGCCTGGCCCCACACAGCACCCAGAAAATCCACAAAACAGCTGCTCCAGCAAAGCTCAGAGCAGCCAAAGGAGAGGGGAGAACATTCCCCAAACAAATGGCAACTGGAGTCTGTGAGAGGAGATGCTACAGAGATCATCTTGGCTGGCTGATGTGAATACAGCAGTGTTTCACATGAAACAGAGATGAAAAACAATGCTCAAAAGCAGAAAGAATCAAAACACAAAACGAACCATTCCTGAGCACCAAAGTGTTCCACGTTGTTTCCACCATTAGATTACATATGAGCCAGCAGAGGTTTGGGAGATGAAAACTCAGCTACATGTAAAACCAAAGTGAGACACATAAAATACAAGTAATGAAGCCAAGTTTTTAACAAAAGGCATCAGGATCCAACCACATCAGTTCTGGACAGAGGATGCAGCTAATAGGAGGAACAAAAGGCCATATGACTGGGGCTGAATTGTTAGTGCAGCAAACGCCTCTGTGGAGACTCCTACACTTTTCTAAACTCTGGAGAGAAACAAAACTACAAGAAACTATAAAAATATATCTAGACTGTCTGTACAGTCACAGAAATGTCCCCACAGCACTCTGCTGAGAACTGGTTAAACAAAACCTGTGCTTGCTGCCACTGGCTGCAGCCTCCTTAGGAAAAAACATAACAGCCTTGCAGGCTCTAAAAATTAGGGGACTGATGCAGTTAACATCCTGCTGATGACTCTTGATGGGAGAAAAGAAGTTATTTGGCAATTCTGGTAGATTCTGTCATTTTATAGTTGGAAATACATGTGCAAAATCTATGTTTTCATTCTATATCTGTAGGCGAGGTTAATTTTTCTTTCAAGTCTGACTAATGCCTTCACTCCCCCTCTCCCACTGGCTCAGGAAGAGACAAGATGTGTGTGTTTTATTACTTGAAACGTATGGACCTACTCACATGAGTCACAACCACATCCATTAAAACAACAAAACCCGTGGAAATACCACCATCCCCAGGCATGAGCACTGCCACCAGCAAGGGAGATTCCCAAGTTTTGGAGAAGGCTCTGTTCTGTTTCCACCAATACTCCTAATGGGAATGGTGGAGCAGATGGGGAAGAGGAGCTCCCTGGTCAGCTCCCACTTGTCAGTGACTGGATGGACATGGTGTGATGACACTGGCACTTGCTCCCAGAACATGCAGCAACTCTGTGAGCCAGAGAATCTGCAGCCTCAGAGCTGCATCATCCACAGCCAGACAGAGAGTTCTGTGCTCCCAAGGGATATTTGTTTTCAGTTCTACTTTTACAATATTTAAAGGAAATCATAGATACCTCAGCTAAGGGGGAGATGGCATCCAGTGATTCCCAGGCCTGCTTCTGTTGGCTAAACCATCCCTGCCTGACGTGACATCCATCACATTCTGCTCCAGGCACCTCAAACTAATCCAGCCCACAACCAGACCTGTCTCAGCCAAGCAGTTCCCAGGAACCCCAGACTGGAAATCACCCAAGGAGACTCTAAAACGTAGCATTTGGCTCTGCTGCTGAACACTCACCCCAATAGCCTTTCCTAAAGCCTCTCAGTGATAATTTCAGCGTGAACCCATCTTTCCTTTTTGAAAGAAAAAGAAAAGGCAACTTAGTTTTAAGGAAGTTGGTTTTTGGGTTTTTTTAAGTTACATCAGAAAACAGGTCATTCCATATTAGTCCTAACTCAGATCTATGTGTCACACACAGAACTGGTGCACAGCTCAGCTCAGGTTTTGAGATGGCTGCAACAAATAAAAGGGCAGTCAAAGGAAAAGGAAAAGGTAAAGGAAAAGGAAAAGGCTGCCATCTCCACTGCCTGGTGAACAGTCACAAGGTGCTGCTTGTGTTGGGACCTGGAGTCTCAGCTCCAATTCTGCTTCCTCCTCCTATCTGCCTTAAACTTCTTGAGTAGATGGACTTGACAGCTCAAGATGTTTAAGGGCTCCCTACACAACCCGGGAGAAATATCAGTGCATGGAGACTAATCAGTATTTCCTGCAAGTGTTCTGCTGCTGGGTCTCGTGAGAACATTTTGTGCCACATCTTGAAAAAGGAGGTATTGCTCTTGATTTGATGACAAATGAATTGGAAATAGGAGCTGTACATGTGCTAATTTCCAGCGATGAAGTTGGCATTCATTACAGTAATGAGCACTGCATAAAGCATATAATCAACTTTCCCTGCAGATGTCAGGAGGAATCCAGAGGCAGGGAGGAGACACATACACTTTCCACAAACACCATAAACTTCCAGTCCCAAAAAACACAAAGCAAGAGGCAGTTCTTTTTCTCCCTACCAGTCCTCAGGGGTATTTGAGTGTATCTATGAAGTTCTTGAACTAATGAGCTTAGACAGGCTTTCAACCATGGGATAAATATTACAACAAATGCTGTAAATATTTTCATAGTGGAAACACAACTGTTTCACTTTCTTCCCAGAAGCAGCAAAAGCTACAAATGTGATTACATTGAGTTGGTAACTGAGGATAACTAATTAAATCCTTTTGTGTAGAGGAAGATGTTTCTATTACATCTTGATAGAAATTAAAAGCAAGTAATTGAAGGAAAAGGTCACAGTTTAATAAATCATCATCTGAAATAAAGTAAAAATACCAGAAAACACCATCCCCATGCTTTGTAAAATCAAAGCAAGGTGGGCAACGGTGAAATGGTACCTGTTATGTGAAATGAAACACAAACATCTCCTGAAGGGATGAAAGAAGGTGAGTGGGGGTTTGCTGGGTTTCATGCCCACGTGCAGCAGCAAGAAGAACACATCAGTGGATGCCCCAATGTTATTATGAGTAAGTGTTCCCCAGGCACCCAGACTGGGAGCAGTTCTTACCTTCTGGCAGCCTGGGGTTGGCGTGGATGGAGTTGGGGTCCCCATCCTCCTCGGGGTGGTACCGATACAGCGTCTGGGACTGCTTTGGGGAGGACTGGCTGCGGTCTTCCTGGAGAGCAACAGGAGGGGAGGTCGTTGCACTGAACTTCACCTTGGGGAAATCGTTTCCCTCGAGGGTTTCATGGGAAGACTTTGCCCAGCTCGGCTCTGTTAAATTCCCCTCTGTCAAGCCCTGGTACATGCTGTTTGCTGGCTCTTCTTTCCTGACATGCTTTTTCATTTTAGAGTGGGGGGCTCTTTCTTGCTCGCGCCTCTCTTTGTTCCCTTGCTTCCCCTTTGGTCTCCTCTCCAGCTCCTCCGTGTGCTGGGGGGTCTCAGTGGTGGTCGTCGTGTGCTCCACAGGAGCTCTGGTGATTGCTGGTGCCTCCCTGTGCGTGCCTTGCCGGAGGGAAGCCGCGGTGGTGCGGGGCACCCTGCGCCTCTCGCCCCTCTCGGTGGCACCGCGCACCTCGGCGGGGCCCTGGGGCACGGCGGGGCTGGGGGGCACCGTCCCCTCGGGGGGAGGACGGGCCGGGGCTGGCACCGACGGGGCCACGCTGGCTGCCGGGTAGTCATAGTCCTCCCCCTGCTCCTGGCTGTCCTGCTCCAGGTGGGATGAGTAACTCCGGTACTTTTTGGGAGACTCCAGCTGGGTGTTGTCCCCCTCGGCCGCCTCCTGGTCGTAGCTGTAGGGATCGTCGTAGTGCCTCTCGGGCTCCCCGTCCTCGGCGTCCCCGGGGCTGGCCGTGTTCAGGGCGAAGGTGTCGCAGTCGGGCAGGCGGTAGCACATGAGCTCCCCGCCGGCGTTGGGGCAGTGGCACACCTTGCAGGGGGGCATGTGGAAGGTGTGCCCCGCCACGTACTTCTGCCCCTCGTGCAGGCAGCCGATCCTGCCGCACTGCGGGCACCCGTCCGCCGGCACCACGGCGTCGATGCAGTTCGGGGGCAGCTCCGGGCACAGCATGAACTGGCAGCTGATCTTCCCGCCACCCTTGGGGCACGAGCACTCGGTGCTGCCGAAGTCCACGAAGTAGGACTGTCCCTCGGGCACCCTGCCGTTGGTGAAGCCCACGTTGAGGCAGTCGTAGTACTGGTAGCCCTCGCAGGTGCAGCCGTGCTGCAGGCACGTGGCGCAGCACCCGCCGGGCTCCAGCACCTCCTCGATGCAGTTCTCCAGGGCCGGGCACTCGGCGCCCGTGCAGTCCCGCTGGGCCCGGGCACTGCCCGCACACAGCAGCACCAGGAGCACGGCATTCCAGCAGCTCGGCTGCCCAGCCATGGCCTCTTCCCGAGCGCAGCTCCAGTCCAAGGGCGCACGTTCAGCGCTGGCTGTTTTCCTGCAGGGCTGGAGGTTCAGCTCCGAATCCGCAGCGGTTTCCTGAGTTACCTTTTCTCATGGATCCTGGAGTTATGAAAGAAAACTCTGTTAAAGACTATACTCGGCACGTATCCTGCTAAACATTAGAGGTCTTTAAAACTTGGGACGAAATCCAACATCTGGAAACCGAAGGACAAAATTAATCTTAATGTCTTCCAAGCATTGTAGGCACTAAGTTTGGAGTTCTATGGTTCCCCCACCCCTATTTTGAAAAAGAAAGGAAGAAAAAACAGTTGTGACTGTTCTGTTTTGAATCTGTTGACAAAATGTATATATTTTTCAATAAAAAGGAGGCCTTTATACTTCAGTGCCTTTTTGGTAATCTTCCTAGCTAAAAGGATTTTTTTGGCAGAGAATAAGTAAATACACAGTTCTTCCTCTGCAGATACAAGCTTGAGATAATTATTCTTTATGTTTTAATTACAAATACCCAAATCTTAAGGAATTTTTATAGACAAAACTTGGCCCTGGGACGTGAGAATTTGTCTGTATGCATGTTAATACAAAATAAGGACTTTTTTCTGCCTCCTTCCCCCACTGAGCAATCTTTTGCACGTCAGTCTCCAGCATTAACAGTTATTTCTTTGCTCCAGCAGTGCTAAAATAGAACTTCTTTGTGTATTGTGGTTACTTTGTGGTTGCACATCATATTAGCTATCCTGTAATACATGTTAGGGGCCGGATTCTCTGCTCACAGAGGTTGGCACAGCTCCACAGCAGGACTGTGGTGCACAGAGGGATCGACTCCGACTTCACTGGAGGACAGTGACACCAACTGAGGATCTGCCACCACTGGCAACCACTTCTTTTAGTATTGACAACACCAGCAGTACTTTATAGTGAACTATGAACAGAATATATACATATATATATATATTTATGTATAAATAAATTGGCATAATATCACTTTATTAAAAGGCCTTGAAGAAAATGGTTTGCTTTTTAATTACTAAACCCTTTGACCTTAGAAAAGTTTAAGAGTGAATCAGCTGTTGTCCTTTACATCAAAATTATGCTCAAAAAGCTACACAATTAACATGGAAAACCACTTACAACAACAACAAAAAATTGCCTATAGAATTTTATAGGACTAGTGATCTGATTGTTTTTCCAGAAGCCCTCCCATCATCAAAAGAATAATGACCCTAAAACATTTATCTGGGGGGTAAAATACAGTCACATCCCCAAGAACAATAAACCACACATGCAACAGGAATGCTGCCAGAAAATCCATTCAGAAAGATTACTTTGCCCATTCAAAGTGGGCTTCCAACCAGTCTGCTCCATCCCTGCTGGCATGTGGCCAGGCCATGGGAAAAGCGTGCCTGTTCTGATAAGATATGGACAAACTGTGCTAAGAATTTCCACAGTTCTGCCCTGGAATTTCAATTACTTCACTACGTTGCACAGAGATATAATTCTTACAAATGTAGGTTTCCTATTCCTGATTTCAGTATATTTGCTGAATGTGCTAAAGGATAGTGACTGAAGGAAAAATAAAATTGTCAAAAAATACAATAATGGCTTGCAAGAGTCTCACCGTTTCAGAACTGTTCTCGAAACGGGGCTGTTTCTTATGAAGGAGAATTTTCAATATGTGGTGCTGAAATTAATTCTTCAGAACCCAGCCTGGGAATTAATAATTTATCCTACTTTCAGCAGCTTTTCCAGGTAAGCCAAATTTGTAATTGTTACATCACTTTAGCTGGGAAACGGTGAATAGAAGGACAAATACAGATAACTTCTGTGCTTCACAGCAGGATTTTGTCATTCCCTCCCACTGGTACCTCCTGGCTTTAGTGCTGCAGCACATATATGTCCCTTGGTCAAACTCCACGGTGGAAGCAGCTGAGCTCAACTCTCCCCTGGCCCATATTCCCTCTCCCACAGCAGGATTCCCAGGATCAGAGCCCCAGCGTCCTGTTTGGGTGTCCCAGCCCCAGCGTCCTGTTTGGGTGTCCCAGCCCCAGGTTTGGCCCCTCTGTGTGTGCACAAAGGCGGGGCACATGTGAAGGGTGAGCTTGTGTTATCACCCCCTTTAGCCCAGTCAGCTCCTGCTGCCCCGGGGCAGCACAGCCCAGCAGCTCAGGGGGACCGTCAGGACACCCCTGGGAGCTGTGCTTGTCTGCCCTGCTTGGACATTCGGGTTTCCCAAAACTCCTCAGGCATAAACCTGAACTCCTGACAAGAAACCCCAATGATCCCCTGTGCAGGAGGCCAGTCAGAACTCACCTGTAGCACGTTCAGGATCAGCTGAGGGTTTACCCTGGGGCAGTCCTGCCTTTGGGAAAGGAGCTGTTCCACTGCCCTCCCCTGGACAGTCACCTCTTGCCCCCCTCCCGCACACCCCTTTCTGTCCAAGGGTTTGTTTGCTTGTCCAGGTCACCTCCAGCATTTCCTCTGTTCCCGTCCTTGCTCCCTTGCCTCTCGCCCACAGAGAGGCCCGGAGAGCTCTTGGCAAGTCCTGTCCCTGCTCCCACCTCTCACACTTTCTGCTCAGTGCCCTGTTCAGTCTCTCTGTACCCTTTGTCTTCCCACCATTTCCACATCCCTCAGCTTCTGGGTTTTCAAGTTAAACTGATAAGGCTGAAATCCTTACAAACCCTTTCTCTGTCAACACCACAACCTTCCCTACCCTCAGGCTCACTTCCCTTCATCAGAGGCTCCTTGTTTCCGGTGTAATGACTCCAACAAAAGCACCTCTTTTTATTCCTGTAAACCACTGTTTTCCCTGTGCTTTCTCCATCTGTTCCCCACACCCATCACTCCCCCCAATGCTTGCATATCAAAGAAACAGCCTCTACTTTAGGCACAGAGAAAAGCAGCTTTGAGTGAAGAGCACAGACAGGACTGCTGAGCCCCACTGAGACAACCCATCCCTCCAAACGGGGGTGTGCTCCTGCCAGCCCCGGCAGCCCATGTGCCTCTGCATCCACACCCTTCCCTAGTGCTGGGATGACTCTGGAGACAGCAGCTCTTTACTTGGTAATGGCATCAAAAGCTGGAGCTGTAAATAAAGGTGTCTAAACCTTTAAATAAAAATGCACTGTCTCTGAAGGATAGGGGAGTTTAATGCAGCAGATGTTATTGCAATAATTTGCTTCCATTAACGATTTCTGTACTTCCCTTAATGTCCTTTTACACAACTAGGGTTATACACAAGGACTTCACTTCAATGAGGATTGGGTCTTTCTGCTCTCACCAGTGTCCTTCACCCACTCTTACCAATGTCACTGCCTTTTGCTGCTCCACTGAGGGAGATGCCACAAGAAATTAAGCCCTGCACACCTAAAATAAAGGTCTTTCAAAGGCTCTGTTGAAAGCTTTACAGAGCTTTACAGCAAGGTAACCCAAATGCCACCCACAGCAGCCCTCATGCACTGCTTCATGACCCAGAAGGATCCCATTGATGTCCTTTGTGGAGTTTGCTAACCTGTATATCCTCCTCTCCTTTGGTTCAATATCTAATCTTCTTGGCTTTACTGGGTTTTACTGGGCTGCTTTTAAAGCAGTTGTTGCCATTCCTGTGCACACAGTGTGTCCTGAGCAAGGGAGGGATTAAGCAGTGGATTAAGACTGAGTCCCTCAAAGCCTACAGAAGCAAACCTGTGAGGTAAACCAGCAGCAGAGGATGGTCAGACCACTATAGTTCCTTAGACCTTGATTCCTTCTTTAAAAATTATTCCCAGGAAATGCAAAGACACCTTATGGAAAACCTGCTTAAGTAAGAGTCCAAATGAGCATGAACTCCAGGCACACATCTTCCTGGAAAAGGAAAGAATGCTTCACTTTGCAGACTAAACCAGTATCTGTGTCATGGGACATCCAAGGCTCAACAGCAGCAGCCATCAAAATTGTAACTACTCCTCGCTGAAAAACATCATATTCCTGTCTCCTGGCAGGGGAAGAAAACAAGATTTCAAGATGCTTATTTCAATTCAACTTGGGGCCAAAAAGTTATAAATTCTGACATTTTTGCAAAACAATATACTCTGAGTGATTTACTTCAATCAAAGCCATAACATAAAACTAAAAGGAAGAATGTTGACTTGATTAAAACTGTTCAGTCACATTACTCAAAAATGTTGATGAAACCAGTGTGTTCCCACAGAAGATCTAGACATTTTAAATGTGCAACTTCTTTAAATTAAGGGGAGTCTTTTATTGGGAGATTCTTTTTCCAGATGGTTTCATTTCAGTGCTGAACCAGAAACCTCATTCTAGGTAGGCAGAGGTGACAGGAGGCACTTTCCTTCAAAGACTTCCCACAGACACCACCCTTCTGTGTGAAGGTTGCCCCAGAAACGTGCAGGAGGTGTGCACATGTGGAAGAGATACTGCCTGTCAAATGTTCACTGAACAAAAAGAGGCAGCCATTTATAAACAAAAAGCAATAAAGAGAATGAATTCAGAGCACTGTAGAGGACAACATCTGCATTAGAATCCAGTGACTTCCAGCCTTGAAGATGTACCTGCAGTTGTACCACAACAGGTTTAGATAGAACACCACTTTTCTCTATCCTGCCTCTCAATCCCCCGCTAAATTGCCATTTTTGAGGTTAGCAATAACAGAAATGCTGGTTTGATACATATCTTCTACTTTTGAAGAAGGAGCAGGGCCAGATGACAGCCTGATGTGAGAGCAGAAGGTGTCAGAGCCCTCCTGTGCAGGCACTGGGAGCACAGTCCCTGCTGGGTGTAACTGGGGGCAGCCACTGACCTCGGCCAGGAACCTCCACCCAAGTTCCCTGCACACTAAGAAAGAAGCTGTGGGAAAACCAGTGCAGCAGGGACTGGAGAAAGCAAGCTCATCAACCCACAGAGACGCTCTGAACAGTTCTCCTGGTCTCCCAGTGCCACTCAGTCCAAACTGGCTCTCCAGGCACAGGCTGTACATGACCAGGGAGCACACACAGCCCTGCTCTGTGATGGTCAGTGTTTTGGTGATGCTGAATCTCTTCTCACAGTGGTGAAGCACTGCAGAAAAAAGAAGCACATGTGCACACCCACCCCGAGGAGCAAGG